TCATGGAACATGATCTTTACTTAATGTCCTAATGATTTTTGGCATAAAAGAAAAATCAGTAATTTTGACCCATATTATATATTTTTGGCTATTGCTACAAATATACCCCAGCGACTTGAGACTGGTTTTGTGCTCCAGGGTCACATATTTTGTTGCAGCTGCTAATTAAGATACAAACTTAATGGTTCGATTACTGATCAAAGCTCATTTTAATTTGGCACTCAGCAAATGTTCATTTTGAACCCTGCTCATATGTATTTGTGTAAATTAATTAGATTGTGCTGTAAATTGTGACTTTGTCAAATCCTACAGCAGATACTGTCTTTTTTAAAGCAAATGCATTTGTTGGTTTGTTTAGCTGTAGGTATTGGTGTTGGAGTGGGAGTGACACTCTTTGTGATATTTACTGTTGGCACTGTCCTTTTTGTACTGAATAAAAAAAGAAAAAGGTATGTACTGCTCATTACATGGACAATTTAACGAGATAAAAATGAAAAGAGTCTTTGAAATGTCTTGTTTATTTACAGGGAATCTATGCGTGAAAATGACGTGCTTGATAGTAACTTTTCTTATAGCCACTTTGACTGCAATATGAGTGTGGGTATTTTTTCTATACTATAGACTATACTATACTAAAGTTTCACAATTTGAGTTGAATTACTGAAATAAATGAACTTTTCCATGACATTCTAATTTATTGAGATGCACCTGTACATGCATATAGCATTGTAAGAATTTGGCTTTCCACTACTATTTTTGCCAGGGTTTAAAATCTACAGGAGAGAACAGCAACTCCAGGAATATTTCACTTTCAGCAGATGGAAATGCTGTCTTTTACATAAGATCTTTTACATAAGATGATAAAGAAGATAATCGCAAACTCAAACAGAAACAAATCTTTATAAATCTTATGTCACCTACTGTATATCTTTATTATACTGAGAAACAATTGCAGTCCCCCAACCATTTGGATTAACTGTAGCCATATGGCCTTTAAATGCCTGACTGACTGAATCATTGCCAGGATCATGCCATTTTGGCGATATGGGGGTGCTCAATGTCTGATTTCACATAGAACTAGTGGTTTTCTTCCAGTAAGTTAATATGCAGCCTATTATGATAATGCTGTAGGCTAAATAAAAATGTGAAAAGAAAGAAGCTTTTAATAAATATTTTTAACGTGTGTGAATAAACCCAACAACGTCTGTGACAGATTTAAGTTTCACTTTCCATGATCCGTGACCGACAGAGGAGCATCTCGGCGGCAGGGATTTAAATCTTTAACATTGTCTGGAATAAGATTTCTTTCTTTTTATTTTATTTATTGATCACTCAGGGTTATCTAATTTAACTATTTGTGGCTTGTGTTTTGAATATATGTTCCCCTGCACTTTAGGCATTTTGCACACATTTGTCTTGCACCTTGTGACTTGATTCTGACTTATTTCGTTTTTTTTTTTTTTTATTAAAAAGGTGTATTCTGTTCTAATATAATTCTGTAAATTAATTTTTGATTGTTTTTGGGTGCATCGATGTTTCGCTGTACTTAGAGCATGATCGCACAGGCAATTTAGACGATTTAATTTGATTTGCCGACATGAAATGTCTTCGTTGCAGCCTTTCGCAATTGTTTATTTGTTATTTTTTTAGGTTTATTGATCCAAAATGTTTTTATACATTTTCTTCTATATCTTTGTGATGTTCTGTACATCGTGGCTTTAAAATGTTATGACGAATCGTTTTACGAATGTTTATCCACATTGCCTTTCATTTCAACTTAGAAAAGATAAAATGGTATTGTCAGTTTCGTTGATCGCTGGACAGGCAGTTTTGGTGGCTTTATTAGAAAATTGTTTCTGTGGGCTGTGTGTGAAAGAAAATAAAAGTTGTCTTACCCACTTGTTGACTACCTGGTGTCCACTATCAGTCAACTATAGGCATTAGGCAAGACCTGACTATTCTGATTTGAATATGTAAATGCTTAGTCTGGGCATTAGTCCATAGAAAGCCCTAGTGTTTTCATTTATTTTTAAAACTTTTTTATTTTATTTACACTTTTACCTACAATTTAGCAGTGTTGCCAATTTAGCTACTTTGTAGCTAGATTTAACGACTTCCCCACCCCATTTGAGACTTTTTTCAAAAGTTTAGGGACAAATATAGCAACTTCTAGTTCTCATCTTGCCCACTGATCTACGTTCATCTTTATATAGATCAGTGAATTTGCCATTGTGATGTCATCTAGTGACATTTAGCTACCAGTTTTAGCTACTTTCAATTGAAAGCAGTTGGCAACACTGCAACTTAGTAACAAGCCAGAGAGGCCTACTAATGTGCTAATATTTTATTTGGAGTGTTGGGAATTCACTTTATAAGGCTGAAAATATTATCAGTAAACTCTGTTATATTTAAAGCTCTTCAGTTTTATATGACACCACATCATATGACTGCACTCAAAATTTAGTTCTCATGTACTGAAAATGGATTTTGACCTTTAACCTTTAACCTTTTTGAATTCACCTCTAGACTTCCTTATTTCCTTTTTTCAAAAATGCAATCTCCGCAAACAGAGGCTCGGTTGGAATACATTGGATTTAAACCACTTTATTAAACCTTTAAATCTTGAGTTGACCTAACATCGTTCAGGAGAGGGCTGTCTGACATTTCCAAACCAAAGGGCCAGAGAATCTTCTCAGCTCTATGAGACATGTCACACTCCCCTAATCCACTCATTTCTCACAGGAACCAGTTTCCTAACGGTAAACCAGCACTCCCTCCCTCTTACTGCCTTTCAAACAAGCACACACACTCTCACATAACCACATTCAGCCATACGAGTAGGCCTACAAGCAAGGACCAAATCACGTTTAAGTGCTCAGATGAATCAAAATGAAAGGTGAAAGTTTTTATGTCTGTAATGTCTGTTAAATGACTTTAAGCTTTGCTAAACCACTGTTTAATATGGCTCTGTTTATGCTGACACAAAGTCTGCTGTAATGTTCAGAAGACATGGTTGACTCCAGAGTGAAATGCTCAATGTGGTTAAATACTGTATATTTAGAAGTGTTTTTACAAAGAAAAAAGCATCGCATTTTAGATTTCTGTGCTTCCTGTGTGCACATTCACTTTGTGAAAAAATGTGTAATGTTGCCTTCAAGTACATTTAGGAGTACACTACCCAGTCAACACGTGAGATCATGCGATGATCACACCTCACATTGTGACCACAGTATGAGCGCACAGTGAGTGTGCAGTGACCTCACATTGCAACCATCGTATGAGCATAGTGAGTGTGCAGTGACCTCACATTGTGACCATAGTAAGATGAAATTCTACATGTTTGTGATATTACTGACCAATATTGATGAGAATCGTGTGAGCTCATGGTGACATCATTGTGAGATCAAATTGTTGACTGGGTAGTATAAAGATGACAAACATTAACTAAATGTTTGATGACAAACATTAACTAAACTATATTTCAAAATGACAACATTTTTGATCCACTTCAAATGTTGACTACTGTAGTTTCTTCTGAAATATAGTTACCTTAATTATTACTATATTGCCACTTTCATCTTCTTTTTCTAGTGACGGTGGAAAATATTATTTTATTTATTTTTATTAAACTTCAACAACAGAACAAATAAAGTACCGTTACAGGACTATAAATACGTGAAATAAACGAGCATAATATGTAAAATACAAAATTTTTATACAAAATTCACATTTTTATTGTAAACTCTCATGAACTCATGCACGTCACTGGACAGTCTCACGTGGGCGTGTTTGGAGCTGAACGTGCCGCATTAAGCGCATCAGTCGCGTGCAGTTCAACAACTTATCTGGCTTCTTCATTTAAATGTACAAAGAAGACACATTAAATGTAGTTGGTTATGGCACTGCCGGCAAGACCACATATTTTCTTAGGAATTTTTGCAGTTATTCAGATTAAATTTACCTTACAGGAATTGCCATCCAGTGGTAAGTTTTTTAGTTTTTTTGCATGTTTTCATTCAGTCTTCTAAATACGCAATACGAGTTACCTATAGTTATTTAAGAGTTACTTACTTCATAATTTCTAAATAAAAAAATTAAATCTCACTACCCGCAAACTGAGGTAAAGTAATAACTCCTAATACTGTAAAATGGTCACGTTAAACTTTCACTTAAAACTTTATAATTTTTGTTATTATTCTATGGCTTTTAATACTGCTTTGGCCTCTGATTTTATTGTTTATTGTTGAATGTGTAACTCTATTCATATAGACCACCTATATATTTTTAGCAGTACAAAATATATAAATGTAAAAGCATTTCATTATAGAACATATGCGTTTAAACAATTGACTGTATTAACTGGATTTTTTAAACATATTTTTAAGATCCAGGCAAAAATAGTGTTTGTCATTGACCCATAAATCATCTAAGAGGCATTGGCATCCATTATTATTGATTAGAACAGAAAGATTATTGCTTGGCTTTGTCACGAAGAAGCAGTGTAGCTGTAATGAATATTAATAAAGTAGCTACCCATGCAGAAGATTTTTTGGCCCATGTATGCTCTCTGAACCCTGCGGTCTCTGTCAGCATGTTGAAAATAAATATGATAGACCTTTGGGCATATCACATAGTTACAATGCCAGACAGGAATCTCAAGCTTTTATTGAGGGATATTCTAACATTAATATCAGATTACTCTGGAGATATTGGTACAGTATAGAAGTAATGTTGGCAGAATTCAAATGAGAAGGACACAGGAAAGAAGTGAGCAAACAGAAACTGTGTTACCCCAGTCAAAACACTGTCCTGCCCTCACACTCCCCCATCCAGCACTATGAGGAATTCTGAGCATGTTTCACCCTCTCCTGTGAAAGAAGTACTTTGGACACACGCTTTGGATGTCACTGCAGGATGTGAAGAACTGTGTGTATTTGCATTAAATGTCATTTTCATCCACTGAAGAGCACAGCAGATTGGATTCAGAGCGCTTTCCAGAAGGTGTGACAAATGAGAGTCATGACAACTTATCCATTAAGGTGAACATCCAGGAATGTATTGTCTATATATACCTCCACATGTTTTCATCTGAAATAATGTGCATATTTGTGCATTAGAGAGATATGGATCATATCTACTACACATCCAAATTCTATGGGCCCACAGATAGTCCAGACAAGGATTTGTGGGTAAATACTGAGCAAATGGACATGGGAAGAGTTCATGGAATTCTCTCCAACACACATTGCCAAACTTTGGTACGATCATACAATCACCTACAAAGTGTTCTTAAAAGTACTTTTTTTGTAATGCATTTTTTTTACTCATTTTGTACATAATTTAGTGGGGTTTTCTTTATCTTATAGCGAGTGAATCTGTCCTTTCATTTCCCTTTCTACGGACATTCATTAAGGGAAATACATGTAGCTACAGGGGGTGAGTGATATATTTAAACTTTCTAAGCATTATTTGAAATATAAATCTTTTGTAGCATTATACATTTCTTTAATGTCACTTTTGATCAATGTATGCATCCTTGCTGAATAGAAGTGTATATTTTATATCTATTAAATTTCTATTCAGGTTTCATCTACACAGGAGATGTTATCCACAAAATGCTGACTGCTACTCAGTACATCGCTCCTCTCATGGCTAATTTTGACCTCAGCATCTCACAGAATTCCACAGTCATTTACTGTGATAATGGTAAAATGATTTATTTGTATTGTCGTGTTATGTTTGAATGGCTGTATTATTAATCTACTTTCTGTTAGGCACAGCTCTTGTTGTGCAGTGGGACCATGTGTATCTCCAGGATGTGTCTCATGTCGGCAGTTTTATCTTCCAGGCAGCTTTATACAAGGATGGCAGAATCACCTTTGCATATAAAGAGGTTGTTTTTTTTTGTTTTTATATACTTCTTGGTTTTACAGCTGCCATCACCATATTGATGTAGATGAAGCAAGGTCTGACTGTAGACTCTCACCTGCTTTTAGGTTCCCATTGACATTAGCAAGATCAAATCAGTGAATCATCCTGTGAAAGTTGGGCTCTCTGATGCATTTGTGATTCTTCATAAGATTGAACAGCTTCCCAGTAAGTAACTCTTCTTGAATAGGAAAATAATACTTCTCTCTCTTTTTTTTTATTTATTAATTCTGCCTTCACCAGTGTTATTTTAGTATTATTTATATACTATTATTTATTACAATTTTGAATTAGTTTTTACTTTTATATTTTCAGTTTTCATTTGAATTGTTTTATTCATTTTGTGCGCTTGTCTTTTTTTTCTTTAATTTTTTATATTTAGCATTGATTTTTGTTTGTTTTAGCTTTAGTAATTATAGTACTTAAACTTTTATTTTATTTCAGTTAGTTGCCATAACAACATGTCTAAATTTCATTTTAGTTTAAATCAAGTTTTTCCATACAATTTTATATTTTATTTCAGCTTTATTTAAAATAATGAAAACAATTTGAATAATTTTAGTTTTAATGATCAATACTGATACCAGCCCTCCATTCTGTTGTTGTTGTTTTTTTCATGACAGATGTTAAAAGGAGAACAATATATGAATATCATCGGGTAGAGCTCTTAAAATCCAAGATCTCAAACGTCACTGCTGTTGAGATGCTTCCTCTACCAAGTGAGTCCAAACTGCTGACAGAACAGGATTCAGCTCAGATGGAATAGGTTTCATTTATGGAAAATAGCGCTGCATAGAACTCTAATTAATTAATATATTTTCCTAGTACTAAGACCAATGTAACTTTGTGTTTAAAAGCCTCTGTGACTCGTTTTCCATGGTTGGACTTGAGTGTATTTAATCACATATTGTGAGAAGTAGTACCCACGTCTTTCACACATCTCTGTTAAAATGTTGCTCCTCCTGTTGTCAGCCTGCCTTCAGTTCTCCAGCTGTGAGACGTGTGTTACGGCTCAGATCGGCTTCAACTGTAGCTGGTGCAGTCGCCTACAGAGGTATACACTTGGTTCACTTGTGTTTTTGATGCAAATAGTCAGATAGATTAAGTGCAGTGTGTTTCAACTTTAAGTCTAGTGATAAAGCAGGACTCAACAGCTGCAGATATTGTTTCTCCTGCAGATGTTCCAGTGGTTTTGACCAGTATCGTCAGGACTGGGTTGACAGTGGGTGCTTAATTGAGGTGAATAGATACAGCATATCCTCCACTTTCATCTTCTTGAGTCGTTGCTCTGTTCCCCATTTTTACTAACTTAATGTAGTTGTATTTGAAGATAAAGAACCAGAGCTGTGACAGAAAGCAGCCTGGCATTAGAAGCAGCACTCCAGCGGTGCAGACAGGAGTGACGGCAGTGTCTATAACTACAACAACATCACCCACATCAGCCTCCTCAGTCACCACCAAACTCACCAGCACACCCTTATTCATAAGAAATCTTTCTACCAGCATCCTCACAGACGGTGTGTATCAGTCTTATTACAGTATGTCCTGCAGCTCATTGAGAGGATATTTTTTTCATTATGTCTTGCTCCCAAATGAGACCAATTATAAGAGCCCTACAAACCGAGATAAAATCGACACCTGCACAGCTTTTTTTCCTTAGGCCATAACCTTTTTCAACATGACACTTAATCCATAATCCAAAATTGACCTTTCATCTGCAGAATAAACTTCCAGTTTTTGTATCAGTTGCACTGTTTAACATTGAAAACATTTGGTTTCTGTGCTGCATGTTACTTTGAATTGAAAATTCTGTCAAATTCTGTCATCATTTACTACTCTACCTTCATGTCGTTCCAAATTTGACTTTCTTTCATCTGTGGAACATATAATAAGATATTTTGAAGAATGTTGGTAACCAAACTGTTTTGGTGCCCAATGATATCCAATGTATACAGAAAAAAAAAATCTCAAAATATCTTCGATGATACCTTTCTAAAATATCTGACCTTCTAAAATACTTTTTATGTTCCACAGAGGAAAGAAAGAATACAGGTTTGGAATGACATGAGGGAGAATAAAATATGACAAAAGTTTGGGTGATCTCATTACGTCTTTGCCGTAGCAACCACACAAATACCATAGCAATCATGTAGAAAAGCCCAGAACCCCCTGACATTGTGGCAAGTACAATTCACATTTCCGGAAAATGTAAAAATCTGGTTTTAATTGTTCTTTACAAGCAAATGTAAATATCTTCTTTTGTTCTCTTGCAGACTCACAGATGGACATTATAGAGAAGCAAACAGAGGAAATATTTTATTATATCTTTTCATGTGACAACACTGAAGAAATCCTTCGGAGACTGGGCCGCAGGGCAGTATTCCAACATGATAACGACCCCAAACACACCTCCAAGACGACCAAGACAGGTAAACGTGATGGATTGGCCAAGCATGGGCATCCTCAAATGGAAGGTGGAGGAGCGCAAGGTCTGTAACATCCACCAGCTCCGTGATGTCGTCATGGAGGAGTGGAAGAGGACTATATGGAAAATAATGGTGGGCGCACAAAATATTGACACTTTGGGCCCAATTTGGACATTTTCATTTAGGGGTGTACTCACTTTTGTGGCCAGCGGATTAGACAATAATGGCTGTGTGTTGAGTTATTTTGAGGGGACAGCAAATTTACACTGTTATACAAGATTTCTTCAGTGTTGTCACATGAAAAGATATAATAAAATATTTACAAAAATGTGAGGGGTGTACTCACTTCTGTGAGATACTGTATATATACAGTGCTGCTTGAAAGCTTGTGAACCCTTCACAATTTTCTAAATTTCGGCATAAATATGACCCAATTCATTATCAGATTTTCACACAAGTCCTGAAAGTAGACAAAAAGAACCCAATTAAACAAATGAGACAAAAATATTTTCTTTGTCATTTATTTATTGAGAAAAATGACCCTGTGTGGAGCAAAAGTATGTGAATCGCTATGATTAGCTGTTAATTTGAAGGTGATATTAGAGTCCATCTATTCAGAGGTGTTTTCAAACAGTGGAATGACTCTCAGGTGCCCTGTTTTATTTAGAGAACAGGGATCTATGAAAGTCTGATCATGTTTGCGGAAGTGAATCATGGCACGAACAAAGGAGATCTCCGAGGACCTCAGAAAAAGAGTTGTTGTTGCTCATCAGGCTGGAAAAAGGTTACAAAACCATCTCTAAAGAGTTTGGACTCCACAAATCCACAATCAGACAGATTGTGTAGAAATGGAGGAGATTCAAGACCACTATTACCCTCCCCAGAAGCGGTCGACCAACAATGATCACTCCAAAAGCAAGACTTTGTAATAGTCTGCGAGGTTGCAAAGGAACCCATGGTAACTTCTAAGCAACTTAAGGCCTTTCTCACATTGGCTAATGTTAATGTTCATGAGTCCACCATCAGGAGAACACTGAGCAACCATGGTGTCCATGGCAGAGTTGCAAGGAGAAAGCCACTGATCTCCAAAAAGAAAATCACTGCCCATCTGCAGCTTGCTAAAGACCACGTGGACAAGCCAGAGGACTATTGGAGAAATGTTTTGTGGACAGATGAGACCAAAATATAATTTTTTGGTTTATATGAGAAGTGTTCTGTTTGGAGAAAAGAACACACTGCATTCCAGCATAAGAACCTCATCTGCGAAACATGGTGGTGGTAGTATCGTGATTTGGGCCTGTTTTGCTGCATCTGGGCCAGGATGACTTACCATCATTGATGGAACCATGAATTCTGAATTATACCAGCAAATTCTGAAGGAAAATGTCTGGACATCTGTCCGAGAACTGAATCTCAAGAGAAACTGGGCCATGCAGCAAGACAACAACCCCAAGCACACAAGTCATTTTACCAAAGGATGGTTAAAGAAGGACAAAGTTAATGTTTTGGAATGGCCGAGTCAGAGTCTGGAATTGAAATGTTGTGGAAGGAGCTGAAGCAAGCAGTTCATAGGAGGAAATCCATAACATCACAGAGTTGAAGTGGTTCTGTACTGAGGAATGAGCTAAAACTAATACAAGATGTTGTGCAGGAATGATCAGCAGTTACAAGAAACTTTACCTGCAGTTACTGCTGCAAAAGGAGGTCACACCAAGCAGCGCTATATATATATATATATATATATATATATATATATATATACAGTAGCGCTACTTAAAACACATTCAAAGTAAGCTCATAAATTGCTAAATTGCAATAGTAACCGTACACGCCTCAGTTTATGTCCTAATAATATATGTGCTTTGTAATTGTAATATCTAGTTTGATTTGTATATTTGAAATGCTGTCAAACAGAAATATAGATCTCAACACCTGAAATGTTATATTGATGATTTCAATAAATGAATACCATAAATAGTTCAGGTTATGTAATCAGAACAACTCGATTCAACAATAATCTGTGGACAAAAATTTACTATTATTGAAATATAATCAAACAAAAAAATCCATTAATTTATACAGATAATTTACACTTTACAATAAATCAAATGTCTTTACAATAGTTTGTAAATTTCTCTATTATCAAATCTAACACATTAATTTATATTATCAGCATATATAAAGTTCTGCATGATTGTGACACATGGCTAGAATAATCTACTCTAAATCTGACATAAATCATAATCAGAAAGATTTTTTTTTCATATAATAGAAGTCAATGGTAAGAAAAACTGTTTGGTTTTCAACATTCTTTAAAATATTGGCATTAGTGATGTCACTAATCGTTCGATTTAACCGGTTCTTCTTAGTGAACTGGTTGAACCAGTTCACCAAATCGGACTGAATCGTTTGAAACGGTTCGCGTCTCCAGCAAGCATTAATCCACAAATTACTTAAATTATTCACTTTTTAACGTGGCTGACACTCCCTCTGAGTCAAAATAAACCAATATCCCGGAGTAATTTGTTTACTCAAACAGTATACTGACTGAACTGCTGTGAAGAGAGAACTGAAGATGAACACGAGCAGAGCAGCATGTGTGCAGCGAGCCGGATAACGAACGTACACGCCCACTGTTGGAGCAGTTCTCGTTCTCGAGTCAAGAACCGGTTGCATCGGTTTTCGGATCACCAGTACACTGAACAGAGAACCGTTTCTTTCGGACACATCCGATATGAGAACCGATGAGCTGATTCTCGTTCTCGAGTCAAGAAACGGGTGCATCGACTTGAATGAAGGGCAATCTGGCGAAACGTAAGTTTATTTAATAACAAATAAATCGCAATGGATTATGTATAGTAAGTGGATTATGGTTTCTGCGCTGATGACAACTAATTTATTTACTTTATATCTTCAAGACTTAAATCCTCGTATGCACATCACTGCCTGTTACTGTATTTGGGTGCTTAGTTGCAAAACTTAATTGTAAACTTTTCAGATCATGATTATGATGTTTTAACTGACTGAATTATGAATACTAACTTTATATATTTGAATGTGTATTTTCATCCCGGCCCGGGACGATAGACTTGATATCATTACGTCATCGTGAATGACGTCATTACGTTAGGGCGTAAAAGAACCGATGAACCGTTTTTTTGAACCGGTTCATTGAAACGAACTGTCCGAAAGAACCGGTTCGCGGAAAAGAACCGGACTTCCCATCACTAATTGGCATGAGGGTGAGTAAATGATGGCAGCATTTTCATGTTTGGGTGAACTATCCCAGTACTTAATACTTTTTTTTGTTATTATTAATAAAGACTTAATCGAATGATGAGCTTGATTCATAGTAATGGTAAAATATGCCAAAACATTGTATAATTTTACATTATTTTAGTTTATTATTTATTTTACATTATGAGGGGAGAGAGGTACTAAAGCAATCCTATCCAAGAGTAATTTGTTTGTGTAAAATGGCATCACTGGATGAGCGATACATCAGTCTATCTGAATCTGTCAGCCAGAGCTTGAGTCCATAAAATATTATCTATGAGCCATGAGCTTCAAGGCACATGTGATCAGTGGCTTTTTTAAGTTTGTAGTTATTTAACTTTGTGATGATGCTTGCCGATGTTTCCCACTGTCCTCATTATGCTTCTTTATCTGAAATTTACAGATAAAATTGGAAATTCAAATCATTTTCAGTGACAGATGTATGATTTGAACTATTTTAGACTTTTGAGTAATGCAACAGAAATAAATGAAGCGCATATAAAGATGATGGGTATAATTTCTGCAGAATTTTAAAATAAAACAATTAGACATTTCACCTGTAATTACACAGGTTACATGTCAGTTGTCAGTATTGATTATGAGTAGATCTTACCTTGTTTTGGAGGTGCTGGCAGACGCCTCCTCAGTTTCCGAGATGAGCTAATGGTTTGTGTCTGAAACAAAAGTATTATGACAGTTAAAGTCATAATTAGTCATATGAGCGTGTAAGAATATGTGTATGGATATTATTTAAAATATGAAGACAGCACCTTGGTTTTTGTAGTCTTGACCTTGGTAAATTGGGTCTGTGGAGTTACATTAAGACCTGCATTTTTCAGAGCAGCAATTCTTGAGGAAATGTCTAAAACCTGGAAAAAATAGCACAGATCAAAGCAAGTAGATATGAAAATGACTGCTTTTATTGAACAGAAACACTTTGCAGAAAGACTGTTATGTGAAATGTTACTGGCAGTTTTGATACACCATGGTTAGTATGTTTGCATAGTTCTATACAGTATGTATAGTTTACAGTATATACAGTTGTATATAGCATGTACTGTATAAAGGAAATCTACATTATTATATTTTAGTATTATTTTTATATTATTTTTATATTCTTATAATGTTTATCTATATTTTTTAATTGGTTTTATCCTTATATTTTGAGTTTTTATTTAAATTTTAGTTCAGGTTTCGTGATTTTATGTGCTTTTGTCATTTATTTATTTAATTTGTTCAGTTTTTTTTATTTACATTAAGCTTTAAATTATTTTTATTTCAGCTTTAGATAGTAATTCTGAAAAACCAATCACGTTTTGCTTTACAATCAGGGGGGTCTCTTCCTGAAATATCTTCATTCATAATATGCATTGGCTCAAATAGGAAATATAAGGGCCATAAAAATGTATACAGTAAAAGATGTTTACATTTGGATTTCGTTAGACCATTAGACTGTGTACAAGCCAACCCACAGTATATTTACATGCCTTTGAAAATTCCAGAGAAACAGCGCTTTAAATCACGGCTATAGGAGCAATGCTATACTGGATACAAATGCGTTATGGAAGCGTCAATCAAGATGGAAAGAAAAGCGTCAATAAGTAACTGACTAATAAATTACTGGATTCAACCTCATGATAAACATGTGAGTTTGTGTAATAGGTTAAATTGCCTTCACACAACAGCCAACATAGCGTTTTCCAGTTTTTCAGTGAAGCAGTTTGGATGAAATGGATATAGCATTCTAAATAATATTTTCAAACATTAATTAAAAGTATTACAAGTTATTGCCATTGTTTGGGGAGGAAAATATATAGGTTGGTTCTTTTTTTTTTAAATGTGGTGCAGGTGTGTTGAAAATAAATGGATATAAATGTAAGACAAGAGATATTTATTGGTTAAAACACTTGATCACGCAAACAATATTTCATATGAATCAGACTTACTTTTGTTTGTAAGTTACTTAACAGCATCCAAAGTAGGTTTTTATTTACATTGTCCACTTGCAAAACTCCAGTAGCCTACTACACGCTGCAGTGATGCTGAGACAGTACCCAGATGGTCATATTGGACCATAATTGATATTATACGTGTTATTATGCCCCATATTTGTTACCGCGATTGTGCTTTAGTCTCCTGCGCTACAGTGATGCTGAGACAGGTACCCAGATGGCCATTTTGGCCCATCATTTATATTATATATGATATTATGCCCTATATTTGTTACCGCGATTGTGCTTTAAAAGGCTAAATAAGCCATGCCATGTCGTACGCCGTGTCTCTGCTCGCTGCATGTCGCGCTGCAACAGCTGTAACTGCAACTGGACGCATCAAAGCAAATGTGAGAATCATTTGTCCTTCATCGTGTGGCCATCGCGCCTTGTCCAGAGTAAACAGCATCGCATTAGATTTCTATTTGCTTTGGACGCGTCGCGAGGGTATTACTGATGATGCTTGGGATCTGTGAATGATCATAAATTGTGTATAATCCTGAGTTTATCCTCATTCACTGATCCTGATGGAAATATAAAGAAGCCTTAAACAACAGGGGTGCAAAATGAATCTGCTCCCACCCTGATTGTAAAGCAAAACGTGATTGGTTATAGCGAGAATGTGCTACGATTGGTCAGCGAAGTGTGGCTGTTATCTGATTGGCTTGATGCTAGAATTGTCTCAAAATCCACAAATACGCGCAGCGATCCACAAATGCACAGCGAGCGATCCACAAATGCACACAGCGTTCTTCAAATGTACAGGACGCGATTCACAAATAAATGCCGGGCAAAGTTGTGTTTGTAGAATAAAAATATATTTGTGAATATATTTTTTATTAGCAAGTCTAATTTTTTTTTATTTGTGAATTTCATTCATGTTTATTTGTGGTTCTCATTCTATTTATTTTGTGAATATGTTTGGTTTTTGTTAATCGCGTTACATTTATTTGTGGATCATAATCTATTTATTTTGAATAATGCAACAATTCTACCCCCATATTTCATTATTTCATTTTTGTTTTTAATTTCACTTAGTTTCCAAGGCAACATTTCTGTAAGTTTTTCATCTAATATTTATATTTACATTTTAATTTATCTTTATTTCAATTAACTAAAACAATTTAAATAGTTTAAGTAAACAATAACATTTGTTATATTACTCATTAATTCAAGTGTAACTGCATATTCAGAGCTATGAGATGCTGCTGCTGAGATTCAGAAAGCGAGAGAGAGAGCACAGCATCCAGGCCAAACACACCTTGAGCTCAGACTGCTGCACCTGGGCTGCTGCAGAAGCCACCTGGTCCTCCAGATGAGACAGCTCACTTTCAGTGGTGGATCCACTGATGCTGCGCGCACACTCCTCCAGATCCCCCAGTTCAGCCTCAAGCCCGTACACTGTACCTGCCGCCACATACACCTGCACACAGTGAAATGAATCTGAATAAATTGAGAAGTAGCTCATAAATGCCCAGTGGCATGAGAAATGTTAATCTCTGAAAGAATCCGTACATTCTCCTCGAGTCCGCTGAGCTGCTCATTCAGTCTACTGGCCTCGGCAGGGGGAATTACCGAGAGGTCACTGTGGTCTGACTGGCCTTGTCCATCGACCACAGATCCGTGAATCAGATCCTCTGTAGCATTCAGTACTTTTAGCACTTCTGTGGTGATGCTGCGCAGTGATGTGGCCGAGTACTTCTATTTACGATAAATACACAGAAGAAGGTACTGTAACTTTACACATTAACGTTCACATTCATATAAATGGAAATGAATGGGGCATGGGGCAAGTCTAGTGTGACAACACCTGAATTAGCTAAATTATTAATACTGATTTAATGAATACAATTTACATTAAATTACTTTTTTGGATGGGCCAACTGCATGCCATATTCTTTATGTAGACAATACATCTGGAACAGGCTGAGAAACTGAATCACTTATTTATGGAAACCCATTACCAACCACATAAGAAAAATAATGCTTTGTTAAATCTTAATTATGACATAAAAAGCCACAATTAGAATATAAAAAGTAATAATTATGAGATTTAAAGAATCAAAATTGTGACATACTATCTCATTTTTGACTGATTATGTTATGATTTCAACTTTTACCTCATAATTATGACTTAGTATGTCATAATTATGACATAAAAAGTATGAAATGTAAATTTTTTACATACTAAATCATCACTTTTATCTTAGTATGTCAGTTTTTACATTTTATGGAAAATATGATTTTTTTTTGGTTATGTAGCAGAAATGGGCTTCCATACTTATTTACATTGTGTCTACATTTTGTAGGTTATAATGAGAGGATTTGCAAGTGTGCGGATGTCAGTGAGCTTGCATTGAAAACAAATCTGCCATTTGAGTGCCACTGAGTGGATTTAAACACCTCCGACTGGCCATTGCGTGTGCTCAATGTGCTCAACCAACATATCTGTGATTGCTTACAATGCTAAATGCTGTGAAAAAAAAAAAACGTTGACCAAACTTGAATAAATCTAATTAGAATATTATAATCCACATTTTTTATGTGGTAGCCATAATCATATTCATGATTATTTATTGATTAATTGTGCTCTAACAGAATGTAAAATATGTCAAATATAATAAATAATGAGCCCAGAGTCAGACAGCAGATGAAAAAGTACAGAAAAGAGAGAAAGGAATATGTACAATTATCCTAGTAAATTATGAGTGCATCAATAAGAGCAAACTGTCCATATTAGTATACAATCATCACCTGTTGTAGTATATTGGAGATTAAATGTAGGTTTTTCTCTATGTCCAGCATGTGTGCATCCTAACAAAGATCAAATAGGGGCAGAAGACAAAGAAAGAAATAAGAAATAAAGAAGAGCTTCAGAGAAATAGGTTAAGCAGATTAAATAAAAGCATGTTAGTTGCAAGCAACTAAGGTTACTGCAGCATGTAGCGTTTAGTATATATACACTGTAGTTAGTTGTTACCTTGTAGATCTCCTCCGGTGACAGATACTCCTCCTGACCATATGGGGTGCTGTGCTGAGTTGTGGGGTACCGCTGTGCCTCCCTTTTTTCAATCAAGTCACCTCGACTGTTGCTGTCCTTCTCTTGAACTTTCTCTTCTGATGATTTGCTGCATTGTTTGTCTTCTGTCTCCTCTGTATCTTCAGAATTTGTATTCTCAGCTCTGCTCTGCTGTCCTTCAACTGCATTTCCACAATCTTTTATTTCAGATTTTTTCTCTTCAGTCTGAACTTCTTGCTCGTTCTTTGTCTCTTCAATTCTCTCTCTAGCCATCTCATTTTGTGTATCGATCTCAGCAAGTGTCTGTTTTTGGCTCGCAGAGCTCATTTCTTCTGACATTTGTGTCTCACCCGTGTCCTTTTGCTCACAAATGTCCTGCTTTGCCACAGTGTCCTTTTGCCTTTTCTCTGATCTATTTTCTTCTGATTTCTCTGCATGGTTTTGGGTTTTCTCATCATATTGTATCATTTTGGTTCCATCTGTCCTGTCATTTACCACCAGCAGCTCAGTTCTTATTGACCGATTTATACCCTTGGTTTCAGTTTGATACTCAGACCTGTCCAGTTCATCTTCAGTGGAGGAAAGTAGTGTTTCGCTGACCTGACTGGTCAACACTCTCAGTATGGAAGTCAGGCCATCTTTCAATATCTCAGTTGATCTCACTTGATTTGTGGATTCAATTTCATCTGATATTTCTTTTGAATCAGCCTCAATCTTCAATGAAGCATCTCCCATAACTTTATCTCCCACTTTTGTGTTTGTCTTATTTTCTTCATTCCCCATTTGATACTCCAACCTGTCCAGTTCATCCTCAGTGGAGGAAAGTTGCATTTCTCTGACTTGACTGGTCAGCTCTTTCAATTTGGAAGTCAACTCCTGATCTAAAGATCCAACTACACCAAGGGCCCCTTGATTGTAATAGCTGGGAGAATTGAGACCAAGTCCAAATGGATCAGGGGTCACGGCTCCAGAGCTCAAGATGTCAGGGGTCGCAGTGTCTGAAGTGCCATGCAATGCTGAGTCTTGTTTCACATAACGCCTCTTCATCAGAGCATCTAAGAGGTGGCTATTGGAATCCTGCCAATATATAATCAGAGTCATGAAATGACAAAAAAAAGTGTATTCTACTGATACAATAAAATCATTTATTTTATTTTTATAGGTTCAGAAAACTTGTATTAGTGTAATAAAGGGTATAAAACTGAACTTAATACAAAAACATTTTCAGATATTATTTTTTGTTACCGACTGTCCTTTCCACTCTGCCTCCTCTCTCTTATTTTTCCTCCTTCGCCGTGACCTTTTGACACTGCTGTCCTCTAGGCCATCCTCACTGCTTTCAGCGCCTCCTGGATTGAAATTGATATCCATGACGTTTGAGCGGCGGGCGGATGAGGGTCGCCTGTGTTCTAGTGGCACTTTTCTCTTCAAGAAGGGCAGCACAGTTTTCTGGGACAGGGGTGGCGGCCCATCCTGTCCTGAGGAGTTCTCAGCATCAGCATTCAAGGTGTGTGCAGTGAGATGTTGTGCTTGTGCATTCAAAGGCAAGGTTGCTTGATGGCCGTAGGACTCTGGGTAACCCAACTGCTTATTGGCAGACATTTTACGCAGAAACTCTTCCAGTGCAGCTCCCCAGACCCCATTAGCTTCAGGCTCTGTTTCTGAGCCCATCTCATTGTAAGCTGACACCACGCCAGACTCCCTTTCCAAGACGCTGTAGACCAGACTTTTGCGCTTAGTTAAAAGGCCTGGTCGAGAGAGCAGGTTGCTCTGATAAGCAATCCAGTTACCATCAGGACTCTGTAACACTGAAGACATATAAACAGCATTTACACATGTATATAAATGAAGGTAGTCAACATTTAAAAAATTCTAAATAATTTAAAATCTCTCTGTCATAAACATGAGAAGTTAATTAACTGTGATTGAGAATCATATGGATTTAAGTCAAGGATCTAACTGGAATTGTCCAGTCGGTCGACACTCCTCCAGCTAGGCATGGCCTGGACAGGCATCATTTCTTCCTTCATTTCCAGAGTATGACTTATAGAAGATGAAGGTCTTGACCCAGTGTTAGCATGCTGGTCTGTTTTCTCATCAGTCATGAGACAGAAAGCTGAGCGAGACCTCTGAGGGGAGAGGAAACGTTTCATTCAGCAAACATTAAAGCAAAAGAACAAACCAAAAGCATTGCAAAATTGCAGGTGATTCAGCCTTTAAAAGAAATAAAAAGCCACTGTACCCAGAGAGAAGCATCAAAGGCACTCTGGGTTTGATCAGGAGAGATTCCATCGCTGTTCTGGTTCAGATTACATCCAGACTGCATCTCATCAGTCTGTTGATCCCTTTTCCGGCGGACAATCTGATGTTTAAATATTCCAATATAATAGGTTTATGCAAACATTGTCAAAATTGATAAACAATAATATGATAATTAAAAATTAATATAATCATTTAAAATTATATATAGCCAAAAAGTATTTTAAATTGAATATTATATCAACACATATACTCCTATTCAACATATGTTAAATAATACAATTCTTCATTATCTTTTTGATGTAAACCAAGAGTGTGAATATATACAGATACCCAGATCTTAATACATTCAGATGTCACATGATCCTTCAGAAATCATTCCAATATGCTGCTTTGGTGTTCAAGAAACATTTCTTATTATATAAAGGTTGTGCTGTTAAATATTTTTGTGGAAATCTTGACACTTTTTTTTTTTTAGGATTCTTTGATGAATAGAAAGAAAAAAACTGCATTTATTTGAAATAGAAATCTTTTGTAACATTACAAATGTCTTTGCAGTCACTTTTAATCAATTTCATGCGTCCTTGTTGAATTCATGGATTCTTGCTTAATACACACTGAATTCTACACAATGTAAAACTCTACACTCATGAAAGGTCATTGCTGTCACGTGTTACTTACTTTCTGTACTATAGTTGTGGTCAAGTCCTCTATCAGCTCTCCTCTGTTCTCTCGCAAATAATGAGCTTCATTCTGCTTCTCCTACAAAAGCAAATGTCAAATAGCTGCCATGTCAAACGTTGCAAGTTACTGAATAGCAAGAATGAATGAATGAATAATCTTGTGCCTATTAATGGAAAAGTCTTACTTGACTGCCAGTCTGGATCTCAGCCTTAGCAATGGCCTCATCTATGGCCTCTTCTGCCACCCGCTGTGCCACATTAATAGTCTCAGCCATGCTGTGCTCTGGAGAGAGACATAATAATTAAAGACATAATAAATCAAAGAAAATGGGCATATCATTGTCAAGTGTTTTCAAATGTCCACTTTATGAAACTAATAAAATCGAAACTACTGATATACAGTAACAAACCATACATATTTAATCAAATATTTGATCACAAACCTTCACTTTGCTTGTAAAACGTCGAGTCGCTCTCATACATACTACTCTCATTGCAGACACTCTCCTCACAAGTGCTGCCCTCTGTTGGTGCAAAAAATGTTACAGGTGATTTCATCAGAGAAACTTTACAACGCTTTATAATCTATCCATTTTCAGTTGCAGAGCATTCATAACTTTAGAAAGTGTATGTATGTTGCATGCCATGAAGAAATACTTAATGCCTCGATTTCTGAGGGCATCAACCTTTTATAAAAAAAGAACATCCACATAATAAAATGTCTAAATTTAGTTTCTACTTTTTCCTAATAGTCTTTCATCCATTATTAAAATAATATTCTCAAGAGTAATAAGGTAGGACAAGAGTGGAATAGACAGCTTTTGCTCAATATTAAATGAGAAAAAACAAGTACAACTATATGCATCAAACATTTCTGTTGTTGTTGTTAGTGTCATTGACAAACTGTTCCTGTGATAAACTGAGAAATTCAACAGCACTTCCAGTTCTGACATGATTTTATAGTGGTGTCAACAGTTTTCTCTCTCTGACAGACACTGTCTTAGTCTCAGAGAGCTGTCGGATGACAAATCATTTGATTGGTAAATACTGGCATATTGGAGCACTCAGCTCTACATAGAGCCATTTAAAGTGCTCCCCTCAAGCCAGTGAAGGCCAATCTGCCTCTGAAGTCACCGGCTACCACTCTATAAAAACATCTGCCCTTTACATTCAAGCCAGTGTTTACGCCTACACTCTGCTGAGGAGATCAAATCAAAGTAATGTTATGAATCTAGCTTTTTCTATGAGATAAGCTGAAGACTGATGTTGCAGCTTAAAAACCTATCCTATAATGCTATAAGCTTATTGCTCCATTCTTATTCCGACGTTAAACTCAAACAGATTATCTCCTAGCTTTTTTCTGCATCAAATTTCCAAAAGCCTGACCACATAGTGCAGTGTGTTTTGTGGCCAAAGCTCTTTATATTTCATTGTCACTGTAATGGTTTTATTCTCCTCCACAGAGAGCTATTGTTCCTCAGAGGTTACAGGGGGAGGTGACAAACATCCACAGTCATGGTCATCCATAGTTAATGTGGCATTGGCCTTGCTCTAAACTGCCGTCCTCTTCATGGAGAAGACATTCTCTGCTCACAGACCACAGCAAAACTGAAATGGAGGCTGGACATAGATCGTAACTCATTTAGTGTTGTGTCCACAAACACAAGCTAAGGAGCTTCAAAATGGCGTGGAAGAGAAACATATTCAGAGAGATTTTTTACACTTCCAAACAAGGGTGCACAGTAAAAATATTGTGAATTAGCAGTATATTTCTGGCTACTACTTTCTGGCTTTATTAACAGTAGTTTTTTAACTGTAAAAATGCACTGTATACTTTGACTTTCCAGTGCACATGGAGCAGAAAATGATTACATTTTCAATTTCTGAATAATATCTTTCTGAATAGCAATTGAAATATTCAGTTTTTTTTTTTTTTTTTTTTTAGGCAAGTGAATAAATGATTTACCTGTTAATGTAATAAGTAATTACTGTATAGAATTATGTGTATATGCTTGATTTTGATTCGTTATTTAAATGTTAGGAATACAAGAGGTAAAGGATATTTCAGGTCATAATCAAAGTGCACAGTGACCCTTCCTCCATAAACACGAATAATTCTCAGAAATCCTGCTACTGTTAAATTGGATACAGAGGGAGCAAGTCAGACCAGACAAGCCCTGTCTGCTCTTTCCTTAACCCTCATGAATTAGTGCTAAATACATGCGCGCACATGCAACCATAAGCTGTGAAAAAGACAGAGCTAGGGCTTGAAGGAAAATCTAAAACGGACATATCCACTGAATGCAGATGACATTTGAAATGGAGCATCTTCTACAAACATGCAACATGTAAACAAAATATATATCAAAATACATTATAAATTGTCATAGTGTGAATTTTCAAGGAAGGTCATACAATAGTCCAGATGGCGAGTACCTGTAAGCTCTGCTAGCGCTTCATGCTCGGCTGCATGCCTCCTGTAGAGGTTCTTTAATACTTTGGCACTGCCAAACCTTTTAAAACGCCTTCTCACATTATTGTAGAACCATTCCAGTGACTGTGTCTTCAGTAGCCTGGAAATACGGGAACAAGGCCACATTATAATGCATTTTTAAGAGCATTCCTGAGTTTCTGTTTACATTACACTTATTAAAACCTTTGACAATACAAGTACATAACATATGATTATGAAGACCATGACATTTGTTCTATAATCATAGACACAAGGTCCTATAATCAAGCACACGCACAAACATATATACAAAGAAAGGTCATAGACAGTCAAAGGCACTTTTTAGCATGCTCAGTATCAAAGACCTGGTTACGCCTGTGCTACACTAATATTCAGACTCTCACTGCTCAAGAAACAAATAGCTCCATGTTGCCATGCCACCAATAGCAGAAGTCCAATAGTTTGAATTCAAATGAGTTTTTTTTCAGAGGAATTGCCTGCTGAGAACATATAAGATTATTGTTTATTTTGTATACAGTAAGAAATATTGTCAAAAAGAAAATTAAAATTCTGAAGAATTTTTATTCTTATGGTCCAGGGAGCAGACCAAAATTGCCAAGAATTTTAGCATTCAATAATTATCAGTCAACAATTATGTTACCAACATTATATCAACAACCAAGTTTTAATCATCTGTTTAAAAAGAAAAAAAGAATTATGCAGAGAAATATGAGATGTTGCTAAAGATTGCAGTGTTGTTTTCATTCTTAAAATAGCATTCTGTGTCCTTTTACCATAATGTACAGACACTCCCTGAGGGCAAATTATATTTTTTCCTAAAGAAAAAAATTTAACTTTAAGATAGACCTTATATGGGAATTACTTGTTTATGCATTTATTTAATGAACTAGACAAGAAGCCACACAAATACTGTATACAGATAGCTTAGATCCTACATATACCTGTTCTGTCCATAAGCATAGCATAAATTGAAATTGCCTGCTTCGAATCAGTAATGATCTAACTAATACACTGATATTTGCAGTTAAAATTGGAATTAAAACTGGAATATTATGTGTGGACAGAGAAGATTCAAGTGGATGTGCATAGTATCAAAATTCAATTTCACTGATGGACGTAATCTCTGTTTAAGTGTGAGTGTGTATGTATAAGACAGGAAACAGAAGAAAAAATCCTTCTATTAATAATAAATAAATAAATACAACAACGTATTGTACAGAAATGCAGGACTTTTGTAGGACATAGTAACCTTCCATGCACAGTGTGTGAAGCGTAAAGCTCTTGGGTTTCATTAAAAACGATGTCACAGCACTACAGATTCATATCACATCTCAGAAAGTCACCCTTCACTGGTTAATCAAATGAGTTGAACCTAAAGTGAAGGTTTTCTAAGGTAATTTATATGTTTGCAGGCCAGAATTTGTCCATTAGTGTGCATGTAAGAAGCGCAAAAATATTTTCTGTCTTGGTTCAGTAGTATTCTGACCTACAGCAATCTGTGACATTTACAAAGGCCTTTGAGTGCAATGTCATGTCGTGCTCTATACTTGCATTATACATAATTACAGTATTTTGATGACTGTAGAAGTCTTCACAGTGTTATCCGAACCCTCGACAGGAGGGTTATTGCACTTATTGTCTTTCACTAAACCATGTGTGTAAACAAACCCACAGCCACAGACACTCACTAATGCTCAAATGACTACTGGGTGCTACAAAAAGGTGCTTGGAAATATATGTGAGACACAACTCATGAACATAAACACAAGCACATTTTCACAGTAAAACAAACAGTCCATTTACAGAACCAGTCCTGAACCCATCAGGATGTCATTTTTGTTATTTTATTGTAAATTAACTGGGCTCTTTTTTATTTATTTTAATTGTGTAAAAAGATACTTAACTTCTTTTTGCCAGTCCATATATATGTTTTTATTTATTTAGAAAACCGACTTTCAGTCTTCAGTGTTTACTAGGGATCATCAAATAATAAAATTCTGACTGATTAATCTATACTATTTTGTCTAAATAAAATTAAAATACACTGCTAAAAACAAATACATTTTATTAAATGTTACAAGTGAATTTTGGCATCACAACATTATAATGTACATTACAAAAAATTTATATTCATTTTTAGATTTGCAAAAGTTATTTAACTGTTATTAAATTTTTAGTGTTTTTAAGATTCACTTCAAGTGAGAATTAGACATGGCAAAGGTAATCTTAATGTAAAAAAAAATTTAAATACTGTATGAGAACTTAGCATGTAAAATTAAATATCCAATACTGACTGATACTGTCAATTAAAAAATATCTGATATCAACCTATAACTGACAAAGCACCACTTTATCATGTATCCCTAGTTTTTAAACCCTGATAACAACCAGAAGCATCATGAGCCTTTTACCTGCAGGTGTTTCCCACTAAAGCCCCCTGACGGAGCTCACGCTCACTCTGTCTCCGAACCACAACAGCTCTTGTTAACGTGGCAATACTGACCTGGTCTTCTGGCAGGCGGAGCACAGCCAGCCTTTGTCCTTCTTACTATATGTGCAGCAGCCCTTGCAGACGTTGTAGCAGCAGTCCAGGCAGGAACGTTTTGGGTTGAGCAGGAACGTGAAGGGAGAACAGCAGCGGATGCAGCAGCGCTCATTAAACCTGTGCTGCCGCGACAGCAGAACAGACCGACTGCCCTCCTCAACCAGTGCCTTCTTCATCTCACTGGAGCGAGAGAGAGAGAGAGAGAGAGAGAGAGAGAAGAAAATAGAAAAACAACTGTGATAAAGTATTTGACTAAAATTATTTAAAATGATTAAGCTAATGCATAGTTGTCGGAGTATTAGGATGATGCATTAAAAACATAGATAATTAATCTCCATGGAAGGCAGGCTGTAGTGCCCTATAAGTGGATCATGTTCACATGACATCTGCGTGTGGACAGATGTGCTGCATTTGCCCTTCAACGTCTTAAATCTGTCTGCAATTCCAGCCGTACTGTAGCCTCCAGAGAGGAGAGAGCAATTCAGAGCAAAATTGCTCTGACATTTAGCAGAAAGACAAGAGACCTAACACTATTTAATGGACCCTTTTCACATTTCCGGGTTTCTCAGCAGCGGAAGTCGTCATAGTTGGGTTAACTTGAAGAGCACTGAATGGGAGCGTACTACAAATATATTTTTTACATTCCCATTTGCTCAAATAGCAAAAGAAAAACTCCACGATAGCGTTTTCGTGACTTTCAATAAAAGGAAAAAAAATTGAGAGAGACTGATAACGGCAGTCAGAAGAGAGTACGATGTCAAATTTACCGTCCCTCCCATAGACGCTGCATTAGAAACACCCTCGCATTAGCGTTAACTGTTTTTTTTTGTAATTTGATGCAAAGGTGATATAATACAAAGAATATTGTTATAAATGTACATACATTTAAAACAAATTAAAATATGAAAAACTTTCGAGGATTTACGATGAGTCTTGTAACATGGGTCCATAGAGGATTGCAACCAGCACATACACATTTTGTTTGGACTAGGTCCATTAGATTAATGCTGCTTAATTAAACTGATGTGCCTTTAGGATATGAACTAAAAGTTTAGTTTATGATTAACAAGTCAGAATTGTAGGGTTTATAGAGTACAGCAGTAAGAAGGCAACTGATTAAATGAGAGTAAATAAGAAATATCTTAATCAATAAAAATATATACAAAAAAAAAGCATATACTATATACAGTATATATTAGTGGTGGGGGGTTTTTCTGTCTGGAGCTTACACTGATACGCCAGTAGGTGGCGACAATTTACTAGTCTTTATGAGTAAATCACTGAATCAATCACTCAACTGAATTGTTTCATTCAAAATGCTCATTTATTCCACAATGAAACAAGTGAGTGGCTGCATCCAAAAACACTTATTCAAAAGAAGTACCTACTCAGAGAGTAATTACCTAGTACCTATGCATAATATGGAGATTTACTTGTAAATATTAATATGTATTTCTATAGCTCTGACTGAATTAAATTTTTGGCAGCCCCTGAAATGGGTCGTACTGACATTACCGGAGCGTTTGAAGAATACGCTACAACGCTCATTCAAAGACAGGCATCTATTGCTTGGAGAGAGCAAGAACACCTGAAATGCATGTGCAGATTCAGTCGAGAGATAAAGTTTACCCTCTTCAACTTAATGCTGTTGAACTTAATTTATGGAGCAAACTATTTGCTTAAACAACCACAACATTAACAGCAACGCTAAAATACAAGCGTGTGGTATTCCATTCTCCAGCTGAATGCTCATCAAAAAAGGACCTTATCAGCTGCAAGTACCGCTGCCAAAAAGACTATTTTGAAATTATGGATAGAACCATTCATTCCCACAACTTCTACCTGGCTATCATACTTCAGAGACATTGCCTTGCTGGAAGGTACCACTGCCAGGTTTATCTTTAATTAATCGGCACATGATGTGCATGTTAATTAATTAATCTTATTAATTTGAGATTATTTTGATTAATTGGCACATTATGTAATTAATTAGATTTTAAAAAAACAATCACTTGACAGCCCTATTTAAAACATAAGAGATACACCTACCCCCTTATTTTGAAATTATGGATAGAACCATTCATTCCCACAACTTCTACCTGGCTATCATACTTCAGAGACATTGCCTTGCTGGAAGGTACCACTGCCAGGCTCAACGGCGCAAAAGACAACACTATTCGGAGTTGGGCAAATATTGCTGTGATGTTGCTAGATAGGCTGGAAAGTTGACATTACTGCTATGCATATCTGAATTTTATTTCTTTTATTTTTCTTCCTCTCCTTTGGTACAAGTGGACAGCTTCATGGCATCTGTTTGTACATAGTTCTCTGGAACTGTGAATTGTGATATATGTTTCTGATGTGAAACTAAATCTGAATAAAAATGTTGATCATAAAAAAATACAAGCGTGTGGTAATGTTAGTCAGATCAGATGCGCATGAAAGTTGCACGTGTTACTATAACAAACACAGCGTGTTTTCTTTCAGAATCATCATTGGCATTTAGAAAGACAAAAATAGGTTACAAAAGTTTTTACCTACAGTAAAAATTAAGATAAGGTGTGAATAATTACATTTTAGACACATTGTCAGTAACTGTTGTGCATCTCTGATCAACACACAGAATCCACGTTTTTAAACGAATCGACTGAATCAATGATTCAGTGAGCCATTCATAAAGGCAGTCACTTGCTTCGTTTCTGAATGAATCAGCCGTTTGAATGAATCGATTGAATGAATGACTGAATCATTCACTTATTAAGACAGGGATTTGTCACCACCTACTGGCGCTTTTAGTTTTATATTTAGAGTATTGTTTCTTTTTAAAAAGAATTATTTTTCACAAGCCTATTTATTTGTATTTTTGTATGTTGAATAGGGTTGCAAAAATGTGGAAAATTTCCAGTAAATTTTGGAAATATTCCAGAAACTTTCCAGGATTTTTTGGAATATTCCAGGGATTTTTGGAAAGTTTCCAGAAATTTACCGGTAAGTTTCCACCACTTTGCAACCCTAATGTTGAATTAAAATATTTATTTCTAAAGCTACATATATTTCTTTCTAAAGCTACTTTTTTGCAACGTCTATTCAGTGTTTTTTTTCTAAATTAACACAATAAGTATTATCTTTAATAACAACTTTATCTTTAATTAATCGGCACATGATGTGCATGTTAATTAATTAATCTTATTAATTTGAGATTATTTTGATTAATTGGCACATTATGTAATTAATTAGATTTTAAAAAAACAATCACTTGACAGCCCTATTTAAAACATAAGAGATACACCTACCCCCTAAAAATCTACATTTGTGAATAAAATTATTCGCTAACAAAAGTAAAACATTAATCAACAAACCTTTTTTACCACCTTCTTCATAGTTTCCATACTTAATATCTATAAAGGACAGGTTCAATTCAACCACATTTCCCTCTAATGTGGTTAAGTCCCATAATTGCACTTTGTCCCAGAAGATACTAGAATATTTACAAGCAAAAAATATATGCGCTGTAGTATCATCTGGAAAAATTCGCGTTTGAATGGTCAGTGGCAAATTCTTTAAATATGAAAACATACTTACAGGCTGTGAGTCAGAACAGACAGCATTGTAGGCTACTCTCCAAGGTTCAGGAAACAGTCCTCCGTAAAATGCGTTGCTCACATCTGAATATTTGGGTTGAACTGTTCTGGAACAGTGTTGTAAATACAACTTAACCACTGATTTCTAGTTGTGTCCTCTTTTGGAAGGCCAAACAAAGTAGTTTCGCTTTCACAACGAAACACACAGCGTCTCCACGACATGGCGGCAGCGGCAACAATACTACAGCGAGAATCAAAGTTACGCCTTCTTTCTTTGCGTAAACACTTGGGCGGTGTTATGCAAATCTTCCCACACAGTGACGTAGATATGTGGGGGCGTGTGTAAACGAGGCATTTTAGGAGGGCGTGGATTTGCAAACGCAAAACTGCAATTGCATCATATGACCCCTTTAAAATTTAAATCATTTTAAATTATATGTCATGATACATACTGTTCTAAAAGCAAACCTATGACTCATAGAGAGAGAAGCTTACAAAGAGTGAAGAGAGGGATGAAAAACTAGAAAGGAAGCATTGTATTGAAAATCTCTGCTTCAGGTGTGGCATTTACTTTGTCTCTCCAAACAAAGCCAACAGGAAATCATTACGAATGATTAGAGCCCCAGCTTGAACGGATCGGCTCCAGTGAATACTGAGAGAGGGGAACTGAGGATAATCTCAGCAGATTTAAAACAGACAAACAGAGGAAAGAAAAAAAATGGAAAAGAAAACATAGGCTTTGATGACATAATGCACATGCAAGGGTGGATAATACATTACAGTGATGTTGATGTTGTAACTGTGAACTTGGCAAACACACATTTATAACACTGCATTTTTGCATCTGTGTGTGCACACAGAAATTGTTTGCTGACAAATTTGTGCCAAAACCTCCCTTTGGGGACATTTTGTGCATGCATATGCTTGAACTCAGTGAAAAACAACTCTTGCACTAAATCCAAGATGCTTGTAGTTTGTAGATTAATCTCTAAATGTGATACTAGAGATTACAAACAGCTTTCCACCAGTTCGTCTAGTCAAGTCAAGTCAAGTCTGCTTTATTGTCAATTCTTCCACAGGTACAGCACATACACACAGAGAATTGAAATTGCGTTACTCTCAGACCCTTGATGCATACAGATAACACTAACAGTAGAACATACATACAGATAGATACAGAATCTAGAACGTCTAGACTGAATCAGTGGCAAGATGCATTTAAAGTAACAGCCAAAAAGCAAAAAAAGAAGATAATAGCTGAAAATTCTTACAGACCTGAGCAGGATCAATTTCATGTCCCTACAATCACCCACGGTGATGATACCCCATCAGGGGTCTCTCCAATGAACTTATAATTGGATACTCAGCAGGCCATTTCCACCGAGTTCTCAGAAATATGGTCTGTTGTTTACAAAGCAAGCTGTTAGCAGAGAACAGCAGAAGTGTCCTGTGCGAGTATGGTGCAGATCCAAGGGAAGGTCTACTAAGTAACTCATGCCAGATAGCCAGATTGATGTATATCAGCTGATATTAGATATTTTATTAGATAGTGGATTTTTTCCCCCTCCAATTTTTACATTTAGATTAACTGAGTATTAG